GACTATTTTCTCAATTAATTCACTAACAGCGGGAATGTATATTCAGATACGCAATCTGTGCCGCAATTTTATTATATGTAAAAAAAACTCCATTTCAGTTTAACAATAAGAAAAACAAGTGTAAAAAATTGCAAATGATCTTCATTATTTGGTTCATTTAATTTCATTATATCCCTGTTAAATTATAAGATTAAGGCAGTTCTTAAACTAAATGATCCATTAGACCTCGAACGCAATCGATTGATACGCCATTTTAGTTTCTGAGCCGATTATAAATTTTTATTAGATCGTTATAATAAAACATTTCGTTAAAGACATAATGAAATTTTGTTACCAACCTTTATAATAGTTCTCTCTCTCAGTATTATGTACACGAGTATGGGTGGTATAAACAGTTTTGAACCATTTGCAAAATGGACCAAAGTTGTCACCATGACAACCATTTAAAACTACACGAAAGCAATGTTTAAATGTGACTGATAATTTTATTTATTATCTCCAAGTTTTTTACATGAGAAGTTTGTAAGCGAACCGGCGTTTCACGTGATGTTAAGTGATAACCGCCACCCATTCACATTTGCAACACCCGCAGGGCAACAGTTGCCACCTTTTAACAAAGTGGACCCTCTACCTCTGTCAGTAGATGAAACGAAGAGTATTTAAAAGAAATAAACAAAAAAAAATTTTGGAATAAATTTTCAATTTACCGTAGTGAACTCTTTCATTTTTTAAACTTCCAAATGAGTTTCTGAAAATACTAAAGCGTAATAATTTTTGTCTCGTCATTGAAGTCCCCTCATTTTATTAACATTTGTTGATAAATAAACAAAGACTTCGTCTTGATTCATTTATTGTAGTTATTTTAGATTTTCGTTACGAAACATGATAAGTATTAAGCTTAAATTTTGACCCGCAGAAAATATAATAGCTGGATACATGGCTGACACTTTTAAATTTTTATTTTAACGTTTAACGTCTTTACAATAAATTGTACATTATATTTGTAGAAATAGAAGACATTATATACAGCAAAAATTCATCAACACACAATTATCTCTTAGCAAAAGACTAATACCAAAAATTCGACAGCAATTCTATATCTGCGGCGTGTCGAATTCAAAGTTGTCAATTTATTGTCTTCCACTTACATGCCCTATACAAATGTGACCAATCGGACTTGTGGCGTCAGCTGATCTGTCAAAATTACGTCACCGAAAATACGCGCCTACCATTGTCCTGTCAAAGTTTGATTTGAAAACGACGTTCTATTTTCATATCGAGTTTTATTTATAACGATCCTATTCATTCTGAGCTGTTCTTTAATCGACCTTTCTAATTGATCTTTAAATAAGTACAACAAATCTGTATACTGATCTATTTCATCTTGAAGTCTATTGCCAACGGGTAGTATACAAGCCACTTGGGACTTTAAGTGACTGGGGACTGAGGCTAAAAAGTTATATGCAATATTTATTAGTTATATCATTACAAATTACATTAGCTGCTTTTCCTCCTTCAATTGTAATACCTCTTTGATCGAGCCAAACGACGAAGCATGAAAGCCTTAGCCATCGGCTGCATTTCCTCTGCAAATTTTAATATCTTTGATCAATAAAAGAACCGGCTCTCGTTTCACATATTGCAGCAATCGGTGGAGATTATAATTCTTTTTAAATGTGGCTGATCTAATCTGGTACGGACCACATAGACCTGAGTTTCTTCAGCTATTTTTTTTCTTCAGCTAACAAAACTAACACATAGTTTCGACTGAGAGATAGATTTGCGCCGAGTAATTCAGAGGATTCAGATCCCTAAATACCTACCTATGCTAAATGTATTAGAAACATATTCATTATGTCATTCAATTATCTCAGAACTATATAATTTTGGTTTTCGTCTAATTCTAGGCATAAATGTGCCACTCGCACATGCCTAGAACTTGTCAGATGTTGCTCAACAGAATTTAGCTTCAGCCATAAAAATGAAACACTTCTTATTCATTTATGGAAAAAATTTTAGGTTTTCATGTTCTACTTCATTTAATGAAGTAGCTGAATTATTTATTGTAACTTAAAAAGTCTTTATAATATAAAAATACTTCATAAACTAGAATTCATGCATTTAAGTAGAGTAGAAAGCGCCCACAGATCACTAAACTTAATAATATCAATTTTCTCGATTGTGGCTTTGTACTATGGTCGCTTCGGGCTCGGTAAGTGTTCAGAGAGCATTTTATTGGGGACAGGAAACAGGGGTATGTCGTCTTCGTGGCAATTATGTACGGTCCATTTCACAGCGTCGCCGCGTACTAGAAAGTGATGTGTTTTTTTTTTCCAAGCAGGCTAAGTCGCTCAGTATCGAGTTGAGTTCTTGTCTGACGTGGCAATGTGAAATCGGACCTCTCCCTGCGATTGTAAGCCTGTTCTAAAATAGAACGCGCCTGAGGATTGCGGCTTGCAATGAATTCCTTTTGTTTCGTTTCAAATGAGAACTATACGGCCGTACTTTATGCCAAGTGCTGCGCACTAAGACGCTTTTCCGGATTTAGGTTTAAAAAATAACCCTTCATAAAAATATCTTTAAAAAAACCGGCAAAGTGCGAGTCGGACCCGCCCACAAAGCGTTCCGTACCATTATCTATAAAACCGTCAAAAAATAATGTCTGTTGTATGAGAGATCCACTTAAATATGTTTTTATTTATGTTCATGAGGTACAGCCTTGTGACAGACAGACAGGAGTCTTAGTAATAGGGCCCGTTTTACCCTTTGGGTACAGAATCCTAAAAATCAAACACAAATAAAAAAAATTGTACATATGAAATTTGTTAAAAAATTTAAATGGTTTTTATTTTAATTTTTCTTTGCAACTGTTTCTATATGACTGTCTGGCCAGGATTCATCCATAGAGATCTAGGTTGTATACGTATAAGGTCTCACTACAAAAAAAAAATACAAATGCGATGGAATCCATTAAGATATCCGTCATGATAGCATAAACTTATTTATGTAATAAATTAATTATAATGATGTTCTATATCTAAATTATCAACCAATAAATCCGAGTAATAAACTTCTTAGAATTCGTAATTAATCGTAAAATGCTCTTGTTTTTGACAGTTTATTTAAATTGCACTGCGGGAAAAAACTTCTAATGGAATTTATTACTTGAAACAAAATAAGTGTCGTCATTTAAATGTTCTTTACAACCCTTGGAGATAAAGATAACAAGATTACAAAATTTTCTCAGTTAATAAAATATGATTACTGAATATATGATGATATTCAGACGTATTGGTAAGCCTTGATCGAAAATATTGCCTTGGTAATCGTTGTTTGATCTTCATTACTCAACACAAATATTTATGCTGGTATGCTCTGAGAGCCATGTTCTGCATAATTACTGTTAAATGGAGCATCGACTACTTTAGTTTGCTAACTTAATGGTTTATTTACCAACGAGAGGTAATTTCATCGTGGAAATGCAAAAAGATACAATAATAAGATACATTATCGGAATGTTATAGTTACCTTTTTTAATCTTTTATTTTGTTATCTACGTCTCTACCTGCCTTATTAATGTTAGTGTTAAGATGTTAGTCTTTGAGTGAAATGAGTTAAGATAAGCTCTTTAGCTCAGTGGCTGGAGCGTCGGGCAAGCATACCGGAGGCCCCAGGTTCAAATCCTGGCAGCGGCAAAAACCTTTTCGTCCATTTTTCAACAAATTTTTTATGTGGAAAAGTTGACTCGTTAGAACTCGGCTGGCTTTCGCTTTTAAAAAAGGCTGCTTTGGGTTGTTCATGTTCTAATCCTAGGTTTCAAGAGATGAATGAATGAAATATACTTTATTGTACACAACCAACGGATATTGAAGAATCAACTAAAATAATACAAAACTGTACAATAGGCGGCCTTATCGCTAGGAAGCGATTTCTTCCAGGCAACCTAGAGATTAGTTAATTACCTAAATTAATTGTACGTGTGTCAAATATAGACTATTACTAGACCTTTCCCTGATTTATGATAATTCCAAGTGACAAGATCTGTTTCAAGATATATGTTTTGCAAAAGGGGAAACAACACTCCTTGTATATTAATTTTCACTAATGCTCGGTTTTCAGAATTTACTCGACGTATATTACGTATTACATATACTAGACGCATATTATATATATAAAAATTGGCACTCCGCTAATGCCTATCGCTTGAACCGTGGAATACCATTACTTAGAAAACATTACAGTTCCTATACTCTTTATAGAAACCCCGTAAAACGTTATTACAAGGTTTCTCCTTTGGTTTTCTTGATCTGTTGAGAACAAGCTGGCGTTAGTAATGAAGTAAGATTTTTTGCACTTAATCTACGCAAGAAAAGTTCTTTAAGACAAACAACGATGTACTAGTTTATGTTGTATACGTAGACGTACACAAAATAATTTGTTGAAGTGGAGTTGGATTTCTTCACGCATTAATAGTAAATTAACAGCCTATAAAAGTCCCACTGCTGGGCAAAGGCAGAGTCCACCAGGGGACCCCACTGCGTATTGGCGGACTTTACGTGTCTTCGAAATATCTTTTTTTGTTATCATTTCTGAAATATGCAGGTTTCCTCACGATGTTAACCTTACCGTTGAGTACGCGATAAATCAGCACTTTAAATTAAAAATTTCATTTGTACCGGCATCGGGGATCGAATTCAGGTAGCTCAAGTTTAATGAATTAAAAGCGAGCGACTCACTGCTCTACCAGTTCGGAACATGAAAATCTTGACCTATATTACAAATATCACATATCATTCCTACTCCCGTACTGATGAGAAAAAAAATCTAGAGGCATTTTGCAAATGAAAAGAATAAATTTAGTGAAAATATATGCATGCTGGATCATACTTGAATTTGGTATATTTAAATCAAATATGACAAAGTTTGGAAACCAGTTGTGTTATTTGCTCATGTATGACAAGTTTAAAGGCAGAGGCTCTGAAAACTGTGGTCAATTGCAGGTACAGTCGAGGGCGTGCCACCGTACAGGATGCCGCCGGCGCCGGAGGCAGCCCTGCCCGGAGCGCCCGCGCCCCCCGCGGCAGCCCTGCACACGCACTCCGCCAAGTTCCCGGTAATACTGTGTGGAAAGTTTTCCAGTAATCTATTGTGGATGACAAAACCAAATTTTAAATACGTTCACCCAAACGGGCAAATGTCTCTCTACAAATTGAAATTCAAAATATCTTTATTGACATAGGCGCTTACGTGTTCTTATGAAACGTCGAATTTTACATAATAATTGATATATAAGTTCGTAAGTAAGTTATCAACGGTTCGGAAGACAGTTTCTGTTGAGAAGAGACCGGCAAGAAACTCAACAGCTGCTCTTTTTTTTAAAGAGCAAATTACAATTATAAGTTAGGTATAATATTCCTATCTTAGCATAGTAGTATCAACAATATTAACGCATATACAAAAGGTCTAGCACATATCTATACTATAATATACAACAAATATTTACATATACGTTGCCCCAGTGTGGATAAGCAGAGTGTATAGTATCCCGGAAGAAAAGTCGTTATGCAGGTCCATCATCATACTTTCCTGCACAGGTCACGTGGTAAATCACAAATCAAGCCCTTGAAATTGCGTTCAACTCATTGGTATTTTTAAAATAGTTAGCGAGGTAGATTGCCAAAAACTCGGTAGAAAATGAAGAATAAAAAGAGGTACTTGAATAAAATAAACAGTAGGTACGTAGATCATGTTATAATGTTCGTTAAGCAACGGGTTCAAATTCCAGTAGCGTGCACGCTACTACTTTTGTTTATCTGTATTAAATTTAGGAAAAAAGAAAGAAAGTTAGGACCGAACTTTCCAGCTCTTTCTTAATCCGTTAATGCCACCGAAGATGACTTAAGAGTAAAATCAAATTCAATTTGGCAAGGTTGCACTAAAACCGGAGTGTCCCAAGAAAAACTGATGGTATCAAATTTTTATATTAAGAAATAAAAGGGTCAAATAGGAAATTCCCATTAGTATAAAAATTTGCCATAAACGATCGATGAGACAGCAAATGGACGATTTATTTCCTACATTAAATTCTTCTCTGTTAATGTTCTGACAACCTTCAATGACAAGTCATAACTATCGAAAACTTCAATGCGAGAAACTACCTTGTTCGCATAGTCAATACCATACTAACAAGAATCCTCAATTAGGCCTCGACCCACACTATTTATTTTTCTGCGTTTACATCCAAAAACGCTTTCTAAAATCGTTACTCAAACTGGGGCTTAGACCGCGAAAGCCTACGTAAACAACCATCGCACCAACCACCATCATTCGCGTGGTCTGGTAAAGCTCAGTGCAAATGTGGCACAGCTCTTACGATATTTTTACGTATATAACGTCGCTCGATTTATCCCCGTCCGCCCTTCCGTCACGGTGGCCCGCGTCACCCCACTTGGGCTCCATCTAGAATCTAGACGGACTCGTTCCCAAGGTCGATGACATCGGGCACTTGTACACATGCCATCTGCACTGTCGTCGTGCCGGACAAGACTCTAGGATTGTCTCATATCGAACGGATTCCATTGAAAGTGCGCATCGCCCGGTCGTTTTTTCTTGTTTCATTTTTTTATTTCACTTGCGTTCTCGACCGGGCGTCAGATTTCATCGGTAGATAGTGTCGGCGCGTTTCTCGCGACGTTACGGGCACATTGATTATAATAAGTGTCATCGCGTTTATTATTGATATAGTAATGCTGTATTAAATAAGAATGTTTCAATTGAAAAGTTAGTACATGTAGGCGTCGGCTGGAAGAAGGTGACTCGGATTTTAAACGAAACGACTAGAAAGACTAAAAGATCAATGAAAACGACAACCTCCTAACAAAGGACTTAACTGCCAAAATAAATATTTTATCTCCAATAAAAATAAAAATAAAGCTGTGAACGATTCACTTAGTCCGAAATCTTAACCGGATATAAATCAAACGTTGAAAATAATGGCACTCGAGAAATTCGAAAAACAGACCGCTCACACACTCAGATTAGTTCAGAATCATCGCCCATTGCTATTACGCTGTTATTAAAAATATTCCCAAAAATGTTATGGAATTAACTGTCTACTTATGAAATACTGGCGGATAAAATAATAATACTATTTTATGTACAATGTGCAATTTTTAATATCAATGGCCATTAATTTTTTTTTGCTGTTTAATAACAAAGTTAACAATTAAAATTGCAAAGACGAACATAATAACGGACTTTGCCTTAAGTCCATTCTTTTCTTACCTGTTCTGAATGTGACCGCGACCTACATAAGTATTATGTTAGTAACATCGGGAATTCAAACGTAAAATAATCAGTAAAATTGTTCTATTTATCAATACGTTTGGGTGTAAATGCAACAGACATACAAAAATTCACCGTTGAACCACAGTGTTATGATATAAAAGTTTTATTATTTAAATTAAATATTAAATGAGATTGAATCGATATTAATCCCGACCGAGGTTTGTTGAATTTAGACATCAGAGACATCGATGAGAGTTTTTATCACCGTTTCGCGTCAAGGTAATGGCGAGAGATCTGTCAGTGAAAGTATTTTTCTTGCCTACGTATATCTGTTGCGGAGGTAGTTATTTTTTTATCCCCTTCATGCCACGTCGAATGTATGACTTAGTACTTTAAGTTAATGGAAATAAAATAATCAAAATAAAATAAAATAAAAAGATTGCTTTTATCCAAATAAATATTACGTCCTAAGGCTGAAAAAGTCTGAGATGGCGCTGAAGTCATATTCATATCGGCTCCGTATTTAATATTATACTAAAAACAGAAAAAGTTTGTAAATATCTAGTTTAAGTGCATAAATAAAATGTTCTATCTACAAAGTTAAAGTGACAGTGTTATCTACAAATTTGGACACAAGGAAAACTTGTTATAAGTGTTATAAAAACAGCAGTGTTAGTGACAATTATAAATACAATATTGGTGAAAAGGATGTGAATAGTGGAGAAAAGGCAAGTGTTTATGCAAGTACAGTGTTCAAATACTGTTTCAAAAGTTTAAAAAAAACTTAAAACCGTAAAAGAACTTGTTATTGTAGTGCGGCACGCATGCCATACATTTCATTGCAATTAGTCATCCCAACGGATTTTTACTTTAAAAACCTATGCGAAGTTTGATCATGTCCACAATTTCGTCGTGATTAGTTGTGGCATGATGGCTTAATGCAAGAGACATCGACTTTAAAATTTTTATCCTGAGTTCTAATCCACAGCAGTGAAAAAGACTTTTTGTGTTTGTTGTTTGTAATAGTTGTCGAAACAATTTTGACTTAAGCGAATTCAGAAATTTCTTAACTTATATAACTTCTGGTATTGAGTTTAATACAGAGACATCTTTAGTGATTTGGCGCTAAAAAACAATAATTTAAAAAAAGATGTCATCTAAGGAGACTTTAATAACCACTAAAAGCAACCAAAAGTGGGCAGCATTAGTAAAATGTTTTAAATGTAAAAGTTCTATTCAGATTAAGGAAACGTTACAATGCTTCATATGCAGAAACAGATACGAGTTTGACTGTGCGGGTTCAAGCGAAAAATTATATCGACTGATGAATCAAGATTCAAGAATGAATTGGAAATGTAAGCAATGTGTACATAGGATCCCACAATCAATTAATAACGACTTATCTAATGTTACAAATAGGAAAAAACGAAACCTAGAAAACCTAGAAAATAAAAACCTTACATTAAAAAACTGTAGTAGAATCGAGAACAAAAGTACAGAAGTATTACAGAAAACACCTCAAAAAGCATACAACGATCATGACTCTCAAATACAAGATTCACACATACTTACAGAAAACGAATTATCTATAGAATCATTTTCAACACCTGACAAGCTGTCGAAAAGCATGGATGGAACTATATCTCACACTATCACGATACAAGAACTAAAAGAAAATATTTCACATTTAATGAAAGAGCTTACTAGCACACAAAATGAGTTGGAAAATACGATACTTGAAAATAATGATTTAAAGCGACAAATAATTAAATTAAGTAAAGAAATTACATTACTTAAATCATTATGTCACTCATCTAATATAGCTAACAAAGTTGATAGCACAAAAAAACAGGTGAAACTTTCAACAACTGTAAATTGTTTATCATCTACACCTATTCGTCTCTCGCCGGCCAGGAAACTAAACATCGAGTTTCACGACAATATGAAACTCCAACAAATGCAACAAAAAATAGAAAATCTACAAGAGCAACTAGAAAAAGCAGACGAGGAGATAGCACAATTAACGAAACGAATACGAACGCTCACACAGGAAAAAGATATGACGGAAAAAATAAACCACTTATCTGTAAGCTCTCAAGACACAACATTGACAAAAATGGGGATAACAGCACATAAGAGAAAAATACTAATTTTCGGAACACAACAAGTCGTTGGTCTAGCTTCAGCTCTCTCCCTTTCCAGAACGGGAACAAAATATGAAAAATATGATGTGACTGCTGAAACAAAGCCTAACGCTTTAAGCAATAAAATAATAGAAAACTGTATAAAAATGAAGATAAATACTGAAGACAAGCTCATTTTATGCGTGGGCGAAAATGACTATAACGTAAAAAATGTTTCAGCAAAATTACGTACTTTATGCGACAAGCATAAATACACAGCTATTATTGTACTTGGCATTTTAAAGAATCAATATAGATATGCTAATACAATAAACAACAATATTAAGAATATATGTAAAGAGTACAATAATTGTCAGTTTGTGAATGTTAAATATTTAAAGCTTTCTGAAATTTGTAATTCTATTAATTATATAATTGACTGTAAGGATTATGACAGTAAATTTTTAAATGTTGGAAACTTACGAAAATTAATACCGAATAATTATTGTTTTAAGGAGAAAAATACCGATCCCAAAACTTATAAGAAAGGCACTATTCCCTATTTTTTTAACAAACAAAAACAAAAAATCAATACATTCCTGAGCAAAATAGACCCTACTGAAATTATGGTAGGGAAGAAAAAAGGGACTATACCTTATTATTTTTCGATTCAAAATAAAAACTTTTTTTGTGAAAGGAAAAGTATCACCGAAAATTAAAATCTTACATCAAAATATAGCAAGCGTTTTAGCGAAACAAGAAATAATGGAATTAACAATAAAAGAGCTAAAAGAAGTAGATAATGAGCCAGACGTAATATGTTTGTCGGAAACATTTCTAAAAACGGACTATCATAATTATTTAAAAATCAAAAACTACGAGCTTGCGGCTACCTTTTGTAGAGAACAGAAAAGAGGTGGAACATGCATCTTAGTAAAAAATGGCATGCATGATATACAAAGTATTAGATTTTATACAAGATTTTGCTACAAAGTACACATTCGAAATATGTGGTATAGAACTACTATTTAACAATATGATTATTATATGTATATACAGAACTCCCTCATCAGATCCCTACATATTTCTAGGTAAATTAGACAATTTTTTACATGAAATACTATTGAGATATAAGTTTAAAATGCAGGTAGTAATCGCAGGAGATTTTAATATTAACACGATGCAAAAAGGAAAAATTGCAAATGACTTTTATAATTTAACACAAAATTATAACTTACTTCTGCATATAACGGTTCCTACTCGTAAAAGTTCCTGTATAGATCATATTTTAAGTAATATTCCAACAGCCACCACAAAGGTCCTACCTTTATGTCTTTCAGATCACGAAACAGCGCAATTGTTATTTGTTCCAGTTGAGAAAAAAATAACGAAAGCAAAAACATACTTCATATATAAAAGAAATTATAGTATAGAAAATATTCAAAAGTTTAGAGAGTGCTTAAAGAACCTTTTATGGTCAGATGTATATTGTGAAAGCGAACTAAACGTGGCATTTGCAAAGTTTCATGATCTATTTAGGCTTTTTTTCAAACTTTGCTTTCCTAAAATTAGAATAAAAATTAGTAATAAAAACAAAGACAACTGGATTAGTAAAGGTTTAAAAATAAGCTGTAAAACTAAACGGACTCTCAGATATAAATATTATAAAAAAAAGAATTTATCGAACAGATTAAATTATATTACCTATTCTAATATCTTAAAGAAACCATTTATGCAGCAAAAAAGAACGCAAATATAAAGTTTTTAAATAAAAACAAAAATAAATGTAAAGCAACATGGAAAATAATAAAAAAGGAAATTATGAACACGAAAGTTACAGATGGAATAGAGAACATTAGATTTAACAACACTGTTATAAAAAATCCGATCGAAATAGCTAATATCATTAATGCATACTTTATAGATGTAACAGAACAATGCGTATCACAAAAAATTATAGCAAATAGATCTACTATTAATCGACAACTTAACTCTATGTTCCTCACACCCATGACAGAAAATGAAGTGCAAACAATCATTGCGTCTCTAAAAGATGTTTCTTCGGTAGGGTATGACGAAATTAACACAAAAACTATAAAAGCTTGCTCAAAAGAAATTGTTAAAGTTATAACGCATCTTATTAATCTATCTTTTTCTTCGGGTACATTCCCAGAAATGTTAAAAATGTCGGTGATAAAGCCGCTTTTTAAAAAAGGTGAAAAAGAAGACGTCAGTAACTATCGTCCTATCACCTTAATACCGATATTGTCAAAAATATTTGAAAAATGTATGTACGAAAGACTCGTACAATTTGTAACAAATTTCAAATTATTAGAAAGGGACAGTATGGCTTCCAAAATTACAAGTCTACTTCGATGCCTATTTTTTCTCTTTTTAAAAACGATAATGAACAACATTAATAAGAAAAATTGGACTTCAGGCTTATTCATAGACCTATCAAAAGCTTTTGACCACGTACCTCATGATAGGCTATTACAAAAATTAGAAATATTGGGGATCAGAGGACCCACACTTGACTGGTTATCATCGTATCTTTGTAACAGACAACAATGTGTAAGCGTAACAAGGATTAATGAAAACAATGAATTAACTAACTACACCTCCAGTTATAAGTATACTAAGTATGGAGTCCCACAAGGTAGTATATTAGGCCCAATTCAGTTTATTCTATATCTTAATGACATCACAGGCATAATTAATCACAAATTTGTTCTTTTTGCTGACGATATTTCAATCATAATGACCTCAAGTAAAGAAAATAATACAATTACAGATCACGAAAATGACATAAATAATACAATTGACACATTAATGGAATGGTTACATACGAATAATTTAAAAATAAATCTGGATAAAACGAAATTCATACAATTTAATAAAAATAGCAAATCGACAATAAATATAAAACTCAACGTTTCAAAAATTAAAGAAGTGACGGAAACCAAATTTTTAGGAATTATTTTAGACCAGGATTTGAATTGGAAAATGCAAGTTGAAACAGTTTGTAATAAAATGAATAGATATGTATACGCTCTTAAACAAATTAGAAATGTTACAAACATGAAAATAGCTATGATTTGTTATCACGCCTATGTAGCATCCATATTACGCTATGGGCTCACAATATGGGGTAACAGTACAGATTTTAATAGAGCTTTTGTTGCCCAAAAAAAATGTATTCGCGCAATATATGGTCTTTCACCTCAGGAGTCCTGCAGACAATGTTTCAAAAAAAATGGCATTCTACCGCTGCCGTCGCTTTATGTCTTCGAAATCGGTATGTTTGTGCACAAACATATGTACCTATTTAAAAAAAATTGCGAAGTTTATCCACGCAATCGAAGGGACCCAAACAGACTTATTCTTGACGACATACCAAGATTAAAAAAATATAACAATAGTTGCATAGCAATGTGTGTAAAAATATTTAATAAACTACCTAATGAAATAAAAATAGCAAGTAGCAGATTGTTTAAAAAAAAGTTGTATGAATGGCTGAATGAAAATAACATTTACAATATCAAAGAATTCATTTAATAAAGAAGAGTGGTAAATTACTATTAGTTGTAATGACAATTGGAAGCATGTTTTGACGAATTAAAAGAAATAAACATAAATTTAAAAAACTATGACACGAACACGGCAAGGATGACAGAACAAAAAAAAAAATTTTTATAATATGATTGTTATGATATTGTATTTAATTAATTATTGACAATTTATTATTTATTAACAAATTATTTTCATTTGAATATTTGCAATGTTTTGAATTTTTTATGCGATATGATTGTAGTGATATTTAAATTCTAAAAACTTTTGACAAATTTTATATATTTATTTGTATTTTAACACCAGAACATCGTTATTATAACACTATTTGTATGGTTATGTAAAGTATTTGATATAGTTTTATATTAGACTCCTTAGAGTATGATAATGGAAATGACAATTATAGCTACTGGGACAAAAATTTATTATTTTTTTTTTATATTGATTCTATTGTTTATTCTTTTTTTATATTGATGTCAAATACTATTACTATGTTTTTTTTAACTAATGACTGCATGGCAATTCAATTGCTAAAGCTAAATTTGCATGCTGTTAAACAGCTAAATAGGTTAAAGCGACAGACAGGTACTTAAACATCTTTGTAACCCTATTTATGGCAAATAAATATTTGAATTTGAATTTGAATTTGAAAAAGGTTTATCAAAAAAATATGTAATCATGTTATCTTACATTGCCACCTTTTAATAAAATGGCTACCTCACTCACCAAACAAAACGCAGAAGTATAACACTTCCAGTTCGCTTCGGTTCTGTGATGTTCTTATCCGGACGGACCTGCCCATTCGTACAACAGTGAAGATTTTTGCGGGGCCCTACCACTGTTAATTACCTTATTTTTAATACACAATATAAAAGTTATGTTACCTTTAACCTGGATCCGAGATACGAAACAATATTTTTCACAAAACAAATATAATTCCTGCGCTGTACATTATTGAAAATATTATGTATCTCTTAAAGATGTCGTCACTTCCACTAAAAACGCAAGAGCCTTGATTATTTGCTAGAGATCCTACAGTCTGGCCAAAACTACATAAACGTGTCTTTGTAATTTTATGATCTTAGTCCCAGTCTGCACACCAGATGAAATTTAAATATGACTTTAATACATACAAATTGTAGAAAAATGTTGAGTTTTGCCAGGATTAGAATCCATGTCTTCTGGGACTGCACAAGCAATCTAATCGACTCTGATAAACGCCCAGTAAAAACCATCAGCTTTATTCGAATTATTAGCAATGCAATTTTTTCAAAATCACTGTATTATAAAACAAAGTACCTGCCGGCGCTTCTGCCCGTCTATCTGAATGTGTTACGGTGAACTTCATCAATGTCTAAACACGTACGTTCCTTTGCAGATTGAACGCGAGGTCATAATATCCTCCGGGGATAAAAATTCCAAGGTGCCCATACTACAGGATGCGAGGAAGAGGGGTCGGCTGGGCGCAGTAGCCCCTGACACCCCGCCGAAGACCATGTCTGCTTGGACACACGCTGAGGTAGCTAACAATCACCAATCAATAGAGCCGTGATAGCTCAGTGTTTGGGCGCTCGTCTTTAATTCAATATACTCGAGCAACCTGAGGTCGATCCCCGGTGCCATTGTTTGATGATGGTGAATTTGTTAATTTTAAGTGGTTACTTATCACGTGATTAAGTAAAATATCGTGAGATACATCAGAATAAGACATAGGCTTTAATTTATATACACATTTTATGTATATCTGTCATTCTGTCTGCTGAATGTTACACCTTCAGCCTATTCTACGCAGACGTAGTCGCGGGCAGCAGCTAGTTTGAATATAAAAAAGATAAATTCCTGCTGTTTGGCGCTTTGAGAACAAACAAACAAAGAGTATATTATCATCGTTTCATAGCTGGTAATAGATGCTAACGTGATTCTAATTTTAAAAGGCTGCCATATCTTTTGCTCGCACTAAACAGAGAAAACAAGTGTGTATTTTTTACTGCGGCCATTAAACCCGTGTTCGTTACGTGTTTGCTTATTCGAATGTCCCCCTACACAATGGCAATATAAAACATAAACAATAATAAATAATTGAAAACGTTTGCCTTACAAATTCTTTTTCAGAGCCAACGTTTTCTCGGAATACACCGTTAATGTACTCTGCGGCATTTTCCTTGAAGGTGAATGTCACGATAAGCATCTTATGAAGTTGTAAATCTATATTTATATCGGTATTCCATTTCTAGGGTTAGACTTATCAACAATGTCAATCTTCCTTATATCAATTCAAGCTAAGTTTAACGTTAACACTTCACATAATTTTATATTTTATTTAAGACACACCAACAGTATACATATTTACACAACTTACAAAAAAGGAAAAATTAAAAAAAACATTGGACCTAATATGTACACCTATAACAGGTGTGTACAGCATTTACAATATTGTGACAAAGTTTAGTAAACAAAAAAACAAAACTAATTCATAAAAAATTAAATACAAAGAATAGACTAACAATAAAGAATCAAAAATAAATTAAAAAATAAATTCACATTGAAGAATACTATACTGTAATATATACTAATGAAATGACTCCAGTACTTTCTTTTTGTAAACATAAGGGAATCGTTAAAAATGTCGATATATTCAGCACGGTTAAAGAGTATATTAAGTTCTTTAATTAATTTATTCGTATGGTCCTATTGTCTGTTCATCAGAGATTAGACCACGATTCAAACCTTAACTAATCACTCCTATAATCTATGTAGAATTTACACCGTTACCTCTAATGCAGTCAATACGTTGTCACTTAAGGGTTTAGAGGCATAATAAAAATTTTTGAATATCGCAAATAGTTAGCTGTGAAGTTGCAACTCTCTGAACGAAACGTCCCACCTATGGCTCGGTCCACGTAAGTTACTACGGCATATGTTAAAATAAAAAAACGCACCAGTTTTTAATGCGCCAGTCACTACACATACTCGAGAACATCATGTATGTTTGTAATATCTATCTTTTTGTGCAAAAATCATACCACATCGCTTCGGGGCCAAGTTGATACTCTGAAAGTACTGAGGATTAGACTGACACCAGAATTAGCAAGTTGGTTTTGTTAGATGTTTTAACTTACATAATAAGTGACATCCACTAACAATTAAGTATAAACAATTTCAAACATTTTGTAAAAACTAGCCTAATGGGAACGGCCTATTATAACGTCGAAGAATACATTGTGGACAAGGATGTATGGTAACGATTCTTGTTCTTTCAAGTCCCCTGACTGCTGCTAATTTTTAACCTAACTGATTTTTATCTGGCATTTTTAGCCGTCGAGTTTCTGGCAGGTTCTTCTCTTGATAGGGCTAATAATGGCACTTCATGAAACAAGGTCTTAGATTGGTGAAGATTAACTAGTCCCATTAACGCCAACGAGATGATATTCCTGAGGACAGCTTGATCTGTTCACGAATCAATTACGACAAAAAACTCCATTTCCCATCACGGAGTCTCAGGGAACTGTGATACAATCTGCGGATTTGAAATCACGTGATAACAATTGGACATTATGTTCTACGACGTAATCTGATGGAATTCGTACTCCGGGCCATCTTATGCGAACAGTGCCAATAACGAGAATTGAATATTCATTAATTTATAAACAGCTTTCGACATAAAAACTATACTTTGTTTTCTCGATACTTACAGTTATAACTCGTTCTTGATCATCCATTACACTGTTTATAACGATCATATAAAAATGGAAGTGCTAGCTGTTAACCTCACTAGCAAAACAAACATATTCATTACCAGTGTACAGTCGCGTGAAATAAGTTTAGAATTGAAACTGTTTTATTCATGAGATATAAAGTCAGAGGACTACGTATGACCGTCTTCCTGCAACTTAACGAGCGTGGTGGCTCGCCAGGCGAAACGGCGGGGTTCATGGCCCTAAACATGATACAGTCGAGAACATAACGCTTTACACTATGCTAAAGATCTAAGGTACAATTCATTACAAAACGTGATACTTAAGACGCTTAAATAATAACAGCGAAGCGCTCTTCTTTTTCCGTTAAGAAAGCCGCAGGAAGAACTCATTTGCTTCGACTAAGCATTTTCCTCGCTTATCCTTATTTCAAGGTCTCACTTTTTGTCCTAATAAGGTGACCAGAGCTTGCTAAAGCTACTCGTATTTCATTTCATCTATCACCCCTGTAATCCTTGTTGCTTTACACACCTGTCTTAAACATTTATTCTTAAAAAAAATTACAATGTGACGAAGTGACAAACATGTATTTCATCTGATGTTAATTGGTAACCACCGCCGATGAATATCTAAAATACATGCAGAATCACGTAATATTAATAATTTTATAATATAATAATTTATTATATACTATTGTTATATTATATTATAATACTATATTATTATTATATTATAATATATTTCATAATATAATAATTTTATTTTACATGCAGATTCGTTGCCAAACTTTTGAAAAGTAAGCACCGGCTATCAGTCCAGACGAAACGCAAAACTACTTGTGTAATACTTTCACTTCACGGTGGTTTCTGTGTGACCATAGTATTTCACCGTATGAGCCCATACATTCGTAGTACAGCAGAAAGTATGCGTGGCCTTGCCTCAGTAAAAATTACCAAGTCTCACGAAAGTAATTTTTGGCACGGAAGCTTTCTAATAAACAAAAACCCCATGCCGATCCCTTTGATTAGAATCACGCCCGGTTTCTGAAACACTATACATCGTAGATGTCAAGTAATCAGCTGTCAAATGGCTTTTCAAATGTCATTTGAGTTGCCAAAATGATGCTTAAACTCTTCCAATTAATTATTCTGATCATTAAGAAGTTCATTCTTGTGAATTCAGATTCTCCTTTAATAATTCATCAAATATAGCTTTTTGATTTCAGTCTATATTTTAGTAGATATTACCTAGGTTTTCGTTTAATTTTTTTTATCAATAACTAATATGTAAACATTAACACAACTAGGTGTTAAGATCAAAAGTTTGATTAAAACGAAATACTAATATGATGATGTAATATAAAGTCGAATTAGACTTATAGAAGTATTTTCTATATATGTATTTATTCATTAATTCATTTGTATGCCGATGCACATGACTGTACTTACCCGCCCCGATCTTAAAGATATAGTTTATTGTTAAAGACCCTACTGATTTGAACAGCTAATTTGCCTCACCCAGAATATTCTTCGATTATAATTTTTTCTATTATTATTACCACTATTAGTAAATTACTTGCATGATCCAGAATTGTCTAATTCAACTACATTTCGAAACAAAAACGGACGGAATACTGCTCCAAGATTTTCCAGTCTTCCGATTTTTCGATCTTTTCATTCTATCCAATTGCATCCAATTTTTTTTTAATCAAAATGATGTAAAACATTGTTAAATGTAGTTAAGAAATATCGATAATGAAACCTAGAAAATATAGAGAAATCGTTTTTGATGTTTTCGCTTTTAAACCTAACGACTTTTCAAGTCTGCCAATAAATTAAAAGCCATATTACTAATACACTACGATACACCGATTGCAAATACAAAGGTGTATTTTATGATATAAATATTTAACATCTTGAAGAATGCTTAATCAACTTGATCGGCTATTGTTAAAGCTGACTTCGAAGATGATTTATGTTTGGCTTTCGTTAGAGACAGATATTAAAGTGACACGATTAGAACTCACAGTGATAAACGACGTCTGGAGCTTGGAGGCAATGTCTATGTCTAGAGCGGTTAATGAATAAAGCATTTTAAGAAAGGAAATCTTGATCCTAGATTATAATCAGCTTAATTTGAATGTAATAGATAATGTAACCCTAACCTACAAAACTTTAATTATATTTTAATGTTATTTAAAAAAAACTAACTGTTTCACTGCTCACATGATAGGCGTGGATATAACGAACCTAAATAATTTTACACCAGTTAACAGCCATCATTATTATTCCATGCTATTTTTGGGGAGTATTTTATTCAGGCGAAGATTACACCACACTTTTTCTTATGAAAATTATATAAAATATCACCACGACGAAACAATGGAGACTAGTAAAAATAAATTAGCAGTTAATAAATTAAAAAGCCTTTTTTTGCCCGATAACCTAGCTGATAGTCACAGAGCATCATAAGCAGATAATCAAAGACGTAGATACAATTAAACTTTCGATTACATCGCCGTGAAGTTGCAGCATAAAGCGTTCGCATAGCCAGATTCTAAATTAACTTGCACACTTTGTTGCGTAACTTAACCGGTTATCAATGTGATTTTAAAAAGGTCATAAGAACTGCAAAAACTGCAAAAACGCTTTCGCTGGCACCGAGCTCTCACCTGCCGTACCCAGATCAGCTAAGTCGGTGGACACCGTTCAGCTTTTAGCCCAATGCTCTTGTAAAATATGATATTCACGCTCATATTCCGTACGGTCAATGGCAGGTCAACCGTCTCGGAATCCGTCTGCTCGAGACGAGAGACCTGCCCATT